AGTTGATGGGTTGGCAGTACGATGCTGGAAGGTTCCGAAACGTTCATTGTTGATGAAGATCTGAAATACTTTGCTTTTACTCAACATACATAACACCCTATCTACCTGAATGGAGTATGGCTCGTTGACGATAGTCAAGCTAAAACCTTCGTTCTTGTGGAATGGAAAATGTCCCTCACGTTCTTCATTATCCCAGAACCCGTTGCGGTGAGAGTTACGAACGATCTGAACCAATAACAATGAGAAATTTCAAAACATGCTCAAGAGTTCGAATGCAACCGCTTATCATCACAACGTAGCGAGAAATGATATGAGAGGTTCAAGAGCAGCACGTCATCATATTGCATATCACGTAAGTTTCTCAATATTTTTGAAATATTTACCGCTTTCTCCTTGAAACGAGGGTTGAAATGGAGCAGAATGTCTCCATTTTGTCCGAGCAAGTCCAAGTTCCACTTATCACCCTTGGGGATTCCGTACATGTAGATACGTTGTCCGGCTCTCAAATGATTGTGTGGGAATCCAGTAGTCCATGGAAGATTGTAGAACCTCAAATACATTGTATTTGTGCTTAAATCCATTTTGATGAGCTTACTTTCCTCCCCAGTGAACTCCAGCAAGAGATAGATCACCCTGGACTTGGAAAAATTCGACAGCGCTGTAAGGAGTACGGTGCTTGAACTCATGGATCTTCTTTCCATCAGCGCTAATCTCATAATGTTCTTCGAGTACACTAAAATATTACTGGGCGTATGATTTTCGATCCACACATTCTGTTTACCGAATTCTAAAGTCGAACTTATCTCCCTTTTTATATGGAATCGACTCGCGTTCTTCTTTGCCCCAAGTTCCTCCCTGAAATATCAGTGTGTGAGAATGGCATATAGAGTTTCTGTTATATATCTCCGTCTTCAAATCATAACATGTTTCCTATGTGCTGTTTTCTCATAAAAAAATAAAGAGCTATAGGTTGTTTGTTACAATTTAAAAACTTTTTTTTTCTGCTGAAACGGCAATCAGTATCAAGCTTGAAGCCTATCGATTGAGTTGCCTCGATCACAGCTTTGAATGTTCAACAAACAGTTTTGTTGGAATTGCTTGTTGAGAGACTTAGTGAGAACTAGAGAGAGACAGATAGAGGACGAAAATAAACTTTTTTTTATTTATTTCCAAATTCCTGATCTAAGACATCTGACTCAGATTCTCTTTGTTGGCATGTTCATGACATTGACGCCGTCGTAATCTGTATGAGAGAGAAAATTTGGTTCATGGTTGAAACCAAAAAATGTTTGTGACATGCTGAACATGTATGAGTGTTTTCTAGTTAGCAGACCCATATAAAGTGAGAGAGGGAGTGGAGCTTGAGTAAGGTCGTCGTAAATACGATATTGTTGGAGAACAACTCTTATGGCTATTCTATGAAATGAGAATCGACCTTGTTCTTTGCTGTTGTTTTTTGAATTGATTTCAAAGTTAAAACGTACGATAAGGGTATTGAAAACGATCTTCTTCTCATCGAATCGAATGTTCATGTGGAAAGCGGCATCACAGTTTGGAATTTCATGTCCATTTTGTAAGAGGTTGATTGTAACTCTGAAAGAAGATGGTTAACAACGTGTTATTGTGATCAAACATACCTTGTAGCTTCAGCATTGAATGTTCCATGAACATTCAATGTCTGTCCAGCTTGGATTGGTTCAGAAAGACGAGAAGTGAATGGGACAGGTACCCCGGTAACATGATCAACGTGAGCCTGTAATTTGAAAGTTATAGTAATTGGTTTCGAAACGCCATCATCTATTGATTGATTGAACTGTTCGCTGTTTGTTTCGCGCAAACTCCTTTTTCTTCCCACAAAATGTACTTTTGAACAATTAATTTTTAGAGGTATTCTAGGACGAAAAGGTAAATTTGAACTTTCACTTTCAAAGAAACGGATGAGAACGACGACGATGAAGATGAAGCCGACGATGTTTGCTCACATGAGAAACGCATTTCGTTTCTCATTCTATTTGAATTAAAATGACAAAATATTGTTTTGTTTACTTCAATCTCATTGGCACTTCGACCTTTCGTCCAACTTGCATACTTCAATCACCTGAGAGAAGTGAGTGAACGAGTGAATGAATGAACAGGTGAATAAGAGAGTGAGCGAGAATGTGAGAGAGCTAACTGTTATGAGTATGAAGAAGCAGTCTTAACAGGTATTGGATGCCTTTACATGTTGGCAACATCGCTCATGAATCATTCTACTTCTTTTGGCCTTTTTTTTTATTTTAAACAAAACATTTGCAAAGGGCTGACCAAACATTACTGGAATCCAACTCTTTCACTCTCTCTCTTCCTTCCTCTACTGATCTCTTCTCCCTCCCTCTCTCTCTCCCTCTCTCTCTACTTACTCTTTTTAAAAATCAATGAAATTTACTTTCTATACAACTCTCAACAAGCTTTCCAAATAAAATCAAAGTTTTATGAATCAATGTTTGTTCTCTTATCAACAAATGCATTAACAACCTCTCTTCCTTTCATTTTTTTATTTTTGGTATTTTTCAAATTCCTTCTGCAACGACAACTTACACCTTCAACTGAACTCAGCGATTCTCTCTTACTCACTCTCTCTTACTCTCCCTCTCTCTCCTTCTATATACATCTCAGAATACTCAACTAGAACTTCGTAGAACTCTCTTCGTTGTTCGAGTTTACCTCTCATCAGTCTATCTCTCTATACCTCCATCTTCTGAGTAAGACAGAGGAAGATGAGACAATACAAGATCAGACTAGTAACAAACGTCTCAAAAACATCTACTAACATGATGGGAATAGTTAAAAATAAATAATTTTTAAAAAAATAGAAGAAGAACCAACCATTGCCAGAGACGATCACTGTTTGCTTCAGTTTGTCAACAGCAATTGCATTGAGCGGCCGTTGTCAAAGCTCCGCCTACTGTCTGCCTGTCTGTTCCATTCTAACCAACCGTCTTAGTCATCAAGTAAACAGTTGGGAATGCGCCCATGTCGTTTATGGCTAACAGAAATACATGATAAGCTTAATCTAAGAAATCGGTGGGCGTAGATTAGAACTTCATTTTTCATTAAAAAAATCGTAAGAATCATCAGTTGAAGCTCAATTACAATGAGGCTTGTTCATTGTTCAGCTCTCTCTTTCTCTTTCGATTTTCCAATTATTTTCTCTAAACAGCAATCATAATCAATAAACCGTTCGTATCCACATCTTCCAAACCCCCCATCCAACCCTTTAAGCGCTCACTCAAATATCATAAGTTGAGCTATGTTTTATGCAAAGCTGCGAACGTGATGAACACGTGCGTTCGAAAAGTCATTTTCAAATTGACAGAAGCAAAGAGCGGTTGATCATCATAGATCCTGACATTTGCCGAGAAATGCTGAATTCATCAAAAAGTATTTTTTATTTCATTGAATTCTATTTCATTGCATTCATGTGTTGTTTTATGATTCTTGTGGTTGTACGTTCTTTCGAGTGAGATAACTGAATGCTCATTGGATGCTGCTACATCCTTGTATTGCTTCAATGAGATGTAATAGGTATCGATGTTTCATCTCATGATTGTTGAAGAGTAATCACAATACGTATTATCTCAACGAATAAACGACTCCCATCCACTCTCTCTCTCTCTTCCCCATCTCACATTACCTAGAATCAGTCAATTTCAATGCTTTTTCGTTTTCAAGAAAAAAAAATAGTCTTTCAATATTTCAATTACGTATTCCATGTGACTCTCTGATAAGAGGGGGGGGGGGGGAGAAGAGAGCAGAGCGTTCATCAAGCTTTTTCAACTCTCATATGGACTAGCGAAATCGCAAAACATTTCATCATGTCGCACAGAGAGTTTGTTCAGATAGCTTTTCGACTCCGGACCAGCACGCACGCAGTCCAAACATTCGTTGACACCATGATAGTTTGAAATTTCAATACGCAATCATGAGATTTGAGGAATAAGAATCTGCTGCAAGATGAAAGAACCGACATTGTATCTACCTTGATCTCACCATCATTCACCCTGATACCTTGAATAGCATTGAAGAGCTTCCGGCTTATGAGTCGTTGGTTATTCTCTGCATCAGATTAGCTGACGAACGAACCAGCTGTAGATGATAATTGAACATGTGAATGATGCATTAACAGCATTCAACCACCCACTAATGATATTCTTAGAATGTGCGCACGTGTAATACGTGGAAATAGAAACGTCATAGAACCGCACAGATTATTTTCATTTGTATCTAATGCAAGACGAGAGCGGTTGTTCATACAGTTATCGAGCTGAGATCGCAGAGAAGAGAAGTGTGCTATAACCTTTTATTTTTTTTCGGAGAAAACTAGAAAGAGTGAGCTTGAGAGAGGAAGTATCTGAGAGCAAAATCAAATAGCCGAAGCTTGCTCATCACCTTAATCGACGAAAAAAAAATGTTTAATGTAATCGCAGGATATCCCGAAATGTCAGTTTCCTTCTTCTTCTTCCTTCTCTCCTACTCAGTAGATCAGAGATGTCTCATCGATACTCCTAATCATCGTGTGTTACTTTCCATATATAGAAATTGATAGCAACATGTTTCGTTCTTCAAACATGTTTGTATTTCCATAATGAAACACATCATATCCTCTGTACTTCAAAGCCTTTTCCAATGAAAGCCCTGATCTCTTTTGGCTTATTTGGAAACTTTTTTTGAATTTCATTTCATTTATATTTGCACATAATAAGGGCTTATCCTCTGAAACAACAGACATCTTCTCTTGCTTGGAACTGAAACAAGTGAAGCACAGATTCTGCCCTGTTCATCTGCAACCTTCCTTTCCGTCCCTTCATCCTTCTTGTGATACTGTCCTGTTCTTCTACAACCTTCCCTACCTCCATTTCATCCTTCTTGTCCACCTCTTGCATCGCTATGTCTTCAACTCTACCCTCTCCTCTCACTCTCTCTTTCTCTCTCTCTCTCTTAAAACCTCAAAATAATTCATTTGACGTGCAATCAATATGATAAACATGCCATTCTTCTAAATGAATAATAACCTTCGCTTCTGATTTTTGTTTGTCAGAAATTATTAAAAATTCATTCATTTATATTCGCCTTTTTCAAAAAAAAAATTTTTTTTCTTCTCCTCTCTCGTCTCTCAATGGACGACGATGATCGTTAGCATTCAGAAGATCCGTTGCTCATTCTCCTTTTTTGTTTTCAAAAGATTCACTCTTTACTCTCTACTAATGCTTAACCTTTATCCTATCTCCTCCCCCTTTTTCCAATTCTCCTCCCTCTTAGGCATTTCCCATCATTTGGTTGAAACCTTCTCTTTCATGCAACAGACTCACTTTCTGCTCTCTTCATGCACAACTCCCCCCCCCCTTTCCACCAGCATCCAACAATCTCCAGCCCATTCTCTTCTACTCCTTCCTCCCGTAAGTCAAGCTAATGGAATAGCTTGCCACCTAATGTTCATGATAACTTCCTCGTTATTAAATGAAATGCTTTTTAGTTTGAATTTGAAAATTTTTTTCATTTAAAATTCAAATTTCCAACTGAAATCGCGCAATTGCTTGTTTCACTCAGCTTCTCTTCTTACATTCTTCTGCTACCTCCCTCTTATGCATATCAAACTCTCTCTCTCTCTCTTTATTTCTCTTTGTATCTATCAATCTCTCTATCTATCTCTCTCTTATGCACGAAAAGAGGGTGAAATTAGCTTCGTTTGATCAAAATTGAAATAAAATGAGTAAAAAAAGAAATTGAAAGAGCGGAGAAGACATGAAAACAAGCACAATCATATTTGGCTTTTCAGTCGTTTTTCTTGTAAACTTCTAAGCTGACTACTGATCATCTTGCATGATAATCTGATTTTCTAATTAACGGTAAATCCTTTTGCTGACTTTTCTTGACATTCTCGCATCTGGCACCTCTCAGCACACAATCACAAAGATAACTTCTTCATCTCTTAAATTAGGAAGGCGTAATAAGATGGAGAGAGTGAAAGAGATGAAGATTAAGAAAGTAAGATTGAGAGAGAGAGAGAAATGAAATGAAAGTGTATTTTCTCAATTTTTGTGTAACAATCGCGCGTCCACACGAAATATACTTTTTATTTTCCATTTTTTCATTCTCTCTCTCTCTCTCTCTATCAATCTTTGTGTTTCTCTCTCTCTCCTTCTCTCTCTCACTTCATTTACCTCTCGACTCTTGTACTGAAACTTCATTTCATCCATCAATAATTCCTAAAAAGGATTTTTGTGAAGTAGACCACAAGCAGAATGAAAAAAATTTTTTTTTTGCCGCGGTCTTCTCGTTCCATTGCCTCATACTCCTTTCAGCAGCTCATCTATGACATCGTTTCTGTGCATTGCAATGTTTTCTTTCCTTCACCAATCTCAAGAAACCTCTCTTTTATATCATTTTTTTCTCTCTTTTTTTGTTGTAAAATTGACAGAGACATATCTGTCAAGCAATTCTCTTGCAATTTCTTGATGCTCTCCATATATCACCTGATATTTCTCGACATCTGACTCTGTCTAACTCCCCCCCCCCACCCTTTTTCATGAAAAATCGATCGGTGTGCTCTCTTCCACCAGCTGCTGTTTCACCCATATATTTCAAAAAATTGTCCTTTTTGTCTTTTATTTAATTATAATATAGATAAGGTTACTGACTCACATTCACAAACTTCACTCAATACACAATGATATTTAGGAAATTAACTGAATGAACTCTCTCTCTCTCTCTCTGTCTATCCCTCTCTCTCTCTTTCTCTTTCTCTTTCATTATCTTGAACGAGGAAAAAAGTTATTTTAATCGTCAATATCGTCGTTGTCCTCTCTTTCTACACGTCTGTGGCTTCTATCGCAAATTCATTGGACGATCAATTAATTTCCGTTTTGAATGCATTTTTAAAAGACAAATGTTTTTTTTATTTTATATATATATATATATATATATATTACATTTAGAAAATAAGTTGAAAAAGAAGAAGAAAAAACCAAAAAACTCATTCATTCAGCTCCTCATTTAGTCATCTCTTGATCGATTTGCTTTTCGTTTACTTGAAAATGTGTCATCATGATCATCATTTTGGCAATTTGACAATGGCCCAAGCAACAGCACTTAGCCAAGTGCCAGCTGGTTGTACATGTTTTTCAGTCAATTTCAATTTTTATTATTATTATTGTTATTATTAAATAATATTAGAATATGTGTGTGTGTGTGTGTATGCGTGCGGAAAGTGTTGGGGCAAAGGTTGCATATGTTTTCTTCTTAATTCACAGCTCTTCACATTTGCTCTTTTCTCTCTCTCCCTCCTTTCTCTCTCTATCTCTCTCTTTTTCTCTTCATTTTTGTAATTTCAGAAGAAGAAAACGAAAAAAACAATTTGAAATGTACTTTGGGCTTTTTTTTTTTTAATATCGTTCGCTCAAAAACGTTGTTATCTTCAATGAGAATTACCAAAAATAGCTTTATATTTGCTTGCGTTTCATACTTAACCATGTCTTCTTCTTCCGCTCTTCCTTCTCATTCCTCTCAACTAATCTTCATACTAATAATATATTTCATTTGTAATCTTTGTCTTTCTCTCTCTCTCTCTATCTCTCTCTCTCTCTCTCTTGTAGAAGACTATATGTGTATGAGCATGTATGTATATGTGGTATGTGGTGTATGTGTATGTGTACAAAGAAAACCGAGTCTCTTCTACCACATAATTTAGATAATCAATTTGATTGTTATCTCTTCTCAAATGTTTTTTCATCTTTCTTTGTCTTGTTTGTATCAAAAAAAAATGAATATTTTCATCTCTCTTTATTATTTTCTTTTCTCTATCACAACCATATTGGTTATGTGAGAAGAAGGCGAATTAATTCAATTATATGATTCATCTTTATTTAACCTCAATATTCAATAGTTAAGTGTTCAATTGCAATTGCTTTTTTCTTATTTCATGTCTCACTCACTCTCTCTCTCTCTCTCTTCCTCTCTCTCTCTCGTACTTCATCTTCTTCCTCTTTCGTATTCAATGCAACTCGTAATCTCTTTCTACTATCTCCCATGTGCCTGCAGTCATTTTCGACTCTTTTGCAACACTGAAGACTCACGTGAGACACGTGAAATGCGCATATGCAGCTCTCATTTATGCCAAAGCTGCCGCGAAGAACGGTTGTATGTATGTGTGTGTGTGCGTGTGTGTGTGTGTGTGTGTGTATGTGTATGCTCAGGTCTCTGTCTGCCTATCTTTCGGTCTGTTGATGCTGATGTGTTTTGCTGCTCGAAAACGAACCATTCAATGTTTCTCTTGTTTATTATCACTAAATATACATTTACTTTACTATTTACTTTTATATAAAAATTTATTGAATTTCGTTTTGTGTCGACATGATTGAAGTTGAGGTTTCCTCCTAGCCTCAGCTAACATCGTTAGAAACAGCAGGAGAGCAAACAGGATCTTAACTTGTGTTAAACACAGTACAGAGAGAGAGAGAGTGAAAGAGGGAAAAAGATGTGTTGCTGTGTGTCTTTTCTACATTTTCTTTTTCTTTTCTTCTCATCTCTCTCTCTCTCTCTCTCTCTCTCTCATTCTACATTTTCTATTTTCTTCTTCTTCTTCTTCTTTTTTTTTCATTATCATTCATGCAAAACACATAATATTCTAAACAAATGTTTCGTTTTTACAACTGTTTCCTTCAAATTCAAATTGAGCCTCATGTCAGGCATGTGTAAATGTCATTCGAACAAAAATTTAATCCATTTTTTGTTCTTGAATTCAATGTGTGTGTAGCTGTTTACTAATTTGCTTTTCTTCACACAGATTTTGTAGTTTTGCCTGTGTGCGTGTGTGTGTGTGTGTGTTGCTTACTGATTACTGCCCAAGTCATCCGTGTATATCCTCATCTCATCGTCTTTTTGTGATTTTGTTTCAAAACAATTGGATAATCAGTCTTTAACATTATACACATTTGACGTCATGCTATAACCTTTCTGCCCCATAATGTCCGCCTTTTCAGTCATTCCGATAATGGAAATTGTGTGTTTTCTACTTATCTCATTCTCGTTCTCCTTCTGAAATTCTTTTCTTTATGATTATGTGGCTGCACATGCAGGCTTCACCTTATCCCATTGAACCTTCCCTTCTTCGTATTTATGTCTTTTATTTTCTTTTCTCTCCTTCTCTCTCTCTCTCTCTCTCCTTCTATTCTCCTTCTATTGCATTCGAACCTCTTGTTTGAAGAAATATCATGACTCCTTCAACATCATTTGAAATACTTTGGATATCATCGCTTAGTTGCCTTCACATCCAAATTCTCTTTTAGAAACCACAATAGGCGATGTGCCCCTCTACTGACGTCCTTCTATCTTCCGTAGTCCACCGATGTCAGAGACGCAGAGATGCTTTTCAGAAAAGCTCTAATATTTCATTCAGTTTCCTTTCGGACTCTCAAAAACTGCTTTCGTTTCTATCGTTTGTCTCCTTTCTTCTTCTTCTTCTTCGTTTTCTTTCTAATTGTTTCTTTTTTCGCAGTGAGGTTCTTCGATCTCTCAAACTCACACCTAAGCCAATTCGATCGTTAACACAACAGTTTACTATTGATTGTCTCTTGATAGATTCCACTATCTCCGTCAGTTTTCTTCAGTTTTCGTTCTCTCCTCCAATTCCTTATATGTCATTTCTTATCCGGTCCCTATTGGTCTATTTGTCTGTTTGGTTTGCCTCCCTTGTTCAAAGTGATCATACTTTTTGTTGTAAAACAAGTTACTTATGCCATCCCCTCCACCCCATGCCTTTCAACAAGGCAAGTTCCTTCTCGTTTTTAACCAAATTGAGACTTCTTCTCGCCAGTTGAAAGAGTATATTACGGACAACTTAATGAGAGAGCAGTAAGCTGCGAGAGGAAACGGTTTCGCCCAGATCATGATTGTTTAATGATACATCGCCTCTCTTGACGGCAGGCAAAAAACTTTTTTTTTCCCACTTTTTTCGTTCCTTATTTCATAATTTTTTAATTATTAACTGTCGTCTTATCTTATCAAATATCTTTTCGATATAATCATTTCAAAAGTTGAACACAAACAGAAGTCATACACGAGGTGAGAACTGTTCAAGACGGTCAATTGCACACATCTTTTTCCTTTCCCAGGCGACAGTCACCTCTCTGCCCCCCCCCC